TGTTGGACTTGCCCTATGCGCGCACACACACACACACACACACACACACACACACACACACACACACTCTCTTCCCCTGGTGGCATACAGTTACTCTGCTGCTGCCTGCGCACAGACACACTGCCCCTGCCTACACACACACACACACGTACGTACTGATGTGGCCCTGTGCTCCCCTGTCCAGTGATGCAGCTGGGAGCCACGTGGTGCTGGAGCAGGACAGGGGCAGGAAGAGAGTGAAATGGATGGGGGTGGGCAGTGCTGGGCTGCTCAGTCCTGCTGAGGGCTCCCCCTAGGTCTTACTGCCCCTGGCTCCTGTCAGTTTTGACAGGCAGCCAGGAGCAAATAAATATTAATTTACTAATTTTTTTAGGGACCTCATGGGCTGGATAGAATGGCCTGGTGGGCGGGATTTTGCCCATCCCTAGTGTACGCTGTTATGGGTAGCTTTTGTTTAGAGCAGAGCAAGCCATGTTTGGTCAGGCACCCCAAACTGATCACTTTTACTTTTTCTGCTGGCTTCAGCTGCAGCTGAGTTAAGTCTGTAGCACCACCACCCTGTGCTTGCAAGAGATGCAAAAGAATCAGAGTTAAATAAATAAACTGCCAATTAGCTTTTTGCTGGTTTCATGCCTCCGGCTTCCTAGGTTTCTCCCAGGCTTCACTTGCCCTCTAGCCTGTTACCTTACAGAGGCTTTGAGAGCCTGCAGAGCTTGTGCCAACAAACAGACTAACAAAAGAGAAGTCTTGCTCACAGCCCCTCCCTGCAGCTGTCAGACCTTGGCTAACCCTCGGGTCCAGACAGCCTTGCTCCCAGCCGGTGCAACCCCCAGAAACCACTTTCAGTGTCTTTTATTTCCACCCCTACTGATTCACCTGGCTGACTCTCCCTCATTCCTGGGTTAGCTCCCTTGTGGGGAGGCTCCCTGCATCCCTGGACCTGAGTCCTCAGCCTTTGATGGGTACCTCCAGCTCTGGGGTGGGTGTGGGGCCATTCAGGCTCCTCCACACCCATAGTAACAGGGCCAGGCCCTGTTAAAAACCTCCCATTTTGGTGTCCCAATCCAGGATCTTGAGAAAAAGTTGGCATTGCAATGTGTTCTCTCTGATCAGATATTGAACATAACCAGCCCCAGGACCAACTCCTGAGGTACTCCACTTGATACCGGCTCCCAGAAAGACATTGAGCCATTGATTACTACCCATTGAGCCTGACAGTCCAGCCAGCTTTCTATCCATCTAACAATCCATTCATCCAGTCCATACTTCCTCAGCTTGCTTGCAAGAATGCTGTAAGAGACCATAGCAAAAGCCTTGCTAAAGTCAAGGTATATCACATCCATTTTTTCCCCCACATCCACAGAGCCAGTCATCTTGTAATAGAAGGCAGTCAGGGTGGTCAGGCATGACTTGCCCTTGGTGAATCCATGCTGTCTGTTCCTGATCACTTTCTCCTCCAAGTGCTTAGAAATGGACTCCTTGAGGACCTGCTCCATGATTTATCCATGGACTGAGGTGAGGCTGATTGGTCTGTAGTTCCCTGGATATTCCTTCTTCATTTCCTTAAAGATGGGTACTATATTTGCCCTTTTCCAATCATCTAGGACCTCTCCTGATCACCACAAGTTTTCAAAGATAATGGCCAGCAGCTCTGCAATCACATCAGTCAATTCCCTCAGCACCCTCAGATGCATCATATCTGTACACATGGACTTGTACATGACGAGCTTTTCTAAATAGTGTTAGACCCCGACTCCATTGCAGCACCCAATGACTAGGGAGATGATGAGCCAATCACTCATGGATCCTGTTACTCATTAGCCAGAGCAAGCATGGAACAAACACCAGAACACTTTGCTCACAGCAGCTTTATTCAGAATGGAGAGCTTTGGGCAAGCTCCCTCACAGACACACAGTCCGTGAAACCAGGGGAGCAGCCCTGAACATGAGTTTTTACACATTTTATACACCTTGGTTCATACTTATTAACATTTACTCTGCCTATGTCCCTCCTTCAGTTCCACCCATTTCTCCTCCCATCTCAAGCTCTGCCTCTCTTTACTGTTTGCTTCATTAGCATGGTGTTGCCTATGCATTTTATTCATTTACATGCCTTTCTGCTAAGAGCGCATGCGTAAGACTTTGACCCTGGCTTCTTTCAGTCAATTGTGGTTTCTTCCTGGTTCTTCCTGGTTTCTTACTGACTTCAGCACCATCTCCAAGGTCCTGCTTCTGTTTTATCTCCTGACGATAGCTGGTGGGCTACATCTTGTTCTTTTTACACAAGGAATCATGCATCCTGCACACTATCCCATTGTTAGACAATGCTTGCTTAAGCATTTGCAAAGTTATTTTTAATATATCATTTTGCCTTGTGACCAGCAGCTCTTGCTAAACACAGATTAAAGCCTTGTTCCAGCTGCAGATCCAATGCTCCCCAAAATCCACATGTTATTGTTACCCTAACAAATAGTCCCTAACCTGTTCTTACACTACTGAGGGCTTCTCACTTCTCCTCAAACTGCTGCCAGGTGCAGGAGTCTGGGAGCTGAACTTGCCTGTGAAGACTGAGGTGAAAAGGTCATTCAGCATGTCAGCCTTTTCCTTATCATCTGTCACTAGGTTGCCTCCCCCATTAAGTAAGGGACCCACACTTTCCTTGACCTTCCTCTTGTTGCTGACATTCTTGTTACCCTTCATGTACCTTGCTAGTGGCATCTCCAATTGCACTTCAACATTCCTGATTTCATCCCTGCATGCCCGAGCAATATTCTTATATCCTCCCTAGTCATCTGCCCAAGCTTCCACTTCCTGTAAACTTCCTTTTTGTATTTAAGCCCACCGAAGAATTCTCTAAGCCTAACTGGTTGCCTGCCATATTTGCTATTCTTCCTGAACATTGTGATGGTTCATTCCTGCACTCTCAGTAAAGTTTCTTTAAAATACAACCAGCTCTCTTGGACTCCTTTCCCCCTCAGACTGGCCTCCCAAGATACCCTGCTCATCAGTTCCCTGAGGGAGTCAAAGTCTGCTTTTCTGAAGTCCAGGATTCATACTTTGCTGCTGTCCTTTCTTCCTTTTGTTAGGATCCTGAATTCAATCATCTCATGGTCACTGCTGCCCTAGTTGCCATCCACTTCTATATCCCCATCAATTCTTCCCTATTTGTGAGCAGCAGTCAAGAAAAGCACAGTACCTACAATGGTGTCTCCAACACTTGTACCAGGAAGTTGTCTCCAACGCTCTCTAAAAACTTTCTGGATTGCTTGCACACTGCTGTATTTCCTTCCCAGCAGATGTCAGGGTGATTGAAATCCCACATGAAAGGCAGGACTTGTGATCTGGAAAATTCTGCTAGTTGTCTGAAGAAAACCTCATCTGCGTTGTGGTTTGGAGTTAATTTTGGAGTTACTCTGACATTAGAAACAGACCATAATGTGGAGATTCAGCAGTTTTATTGGATTTTATTAAGACTCAGTCAAAAAACATAGCATATAGGTTTTTTTCTCAGAGGAAATACAGTAGTTGTATAATTGGAGTTCAGGATCTAGGAGAGCTGGCCCAGGGAAATTGAAACTATGGG